CCCCCCCCTTAGGAAGAGAAGCAGAGAAAGAACCTATCAACATACTCTGCACTATGTACCTTTCTTCTCAGTAATGTTTGCTGTAGACTTCTGGGTGGTTGCCAAGTAAAAATTCCATGTTTATCTAATTTGTTGAATACTTTTAAACAGGAAAATTAAAGCCGAAGGAATCCAAGTCAGGCTGAATCTTTCCACGGCTCTGTTTCTTGCTCAGCTAGTATTTTTATCCGGAATCGATGCTACCAGCAATAAGGTACGAAAAGAAGTTCCATTTGTAGTCACATATTTAGTCGTTCTTTACAATCAATTTCATCTTATGTGTTGTAAGCTTAGTCGTCTCATCCCTCAGAGAAGAAATTCCGCGCAGTTTGTTTTGTTCGATCGATGAATTGCAGCACATTTCGGCGAATTGACGCTAGAAGTAAATATCGCTTTCAAACTCGCCAAAACAAAATGCATGTCACAAATGCGATACAATTTTTTTCTGCCGAATTTCTAGGTGAACTAAATTTCTTCCTTTCACATCGTTGAAAAGCCTCCGGCAAAGTTCGCGAGTTTCGCTTTCATTACTTCCGAAGTCATTCACTATTGTCTATTTCAAGAAGACGAATTACTTCTCATGTGAAGATAACTAGACTGGGACCATTTTTGATGTAAGATGTGGTGCAAAGTCTCCTGGCTTGATCTTTCCCTGGAGAATTTAATTATCAGCTTATCCGATCTCTCATTTCAGTCCGTGTGCATCTTAGTGGCTGTTTTACTCCACTACTTCTATCTGGCAGCGTTTGGATGGATGCTCATAGAGGGAGTTTTTTTGTACATAATGATTGTAGAGGTATTCAACACAGTGAACATGCGGTACCTCTATTTCTTTGGCTGGGGTAAGAAACTTAACAATGTCATTGCTCTGGTGATGAAAATAATTACGATGATATCCGAATATCATTAAAAACTGGATCAGTGGATGCGATTCAAAAATTTTCATTGCCTTAGCCGTCATGGGTTATGAGCCATCACACTATGCGTGCGCATGAAGACGAGTTAAACCGATAGTATTTTTGTATATTTTAACTTTCCGTTTATTCTTGTAAAATAAAGTTGGGAAGATTTATCTATATTTTGGAGAGTTTTTAATAAATCAATTATCCAATTGCGCTTGTTGTGTAGGAGATGATTCCAGCTATCTTGGCTCTACGGGCCTCGTTGGTTAGCTATCATCTCATATTCAACGCACACTCGTGGAATAATCGTTAAGGATTTCACAGAATATCAAACGAGTCGCAATCAAATACAAGTGAAAAGTGGGATATTTCTTGGCCGTAACTCTCGAAAACGTTGCAGATTTTATTTGATAGAGATTGCTGAGGCCAGCACAAGTAATACAAAGTACAATAGGAAAGTTGGGTGAAACACAAGCTTTCTTGTATTCTGATCGGCTGTACTTTGTGTGTTAAATATTGAATGTGAAATAGAACTTATCTATCGATTCCTTCAGGGACGGCAGGTCATTTCATAATACAGCTGTCCTTGATATTAATTTCACTGTTGTTGTTAATGCTGCTGTTATTGTTGTTGTTGTTGTTGTTTTTTGTTATTTTTGTTGTTGTTATTTTTGCTTCTGTTGTTGTCCTACTTCATCCTCGATCAGTGGATGCGATTAAAAAATTTTCATTGCCTTAGCCATCATGGGTTTTGAGCCATTATACTAGTGTGTGCGCATAAAGACGAGTTGAACTAAAAGTATTTTTGCATATTTTTAACTTTCCGTTTATTCTTGCAACATTAAGATGGGAAGATTTAGCTATCTTTTGGAGGGTTTTTAATAAAACAATTATCCAATTGCGCTTGTTGGATAGGAGATGATTCCAGCCCTCTTAGTCCTATGTGCCTCGTTAGCTATCTATCATCTGATATTCATCGCGCACTCGTGGAATAATTGCTAAGTATTCCACAGAATATCAAACGAGTTGCAATCAACTATAAGTGAAAAGTGGGATATTTCTTGGCAAAACTCTCAAAAATGTTGCAGATTTCATTTGATAGAGAATGCTGAGGCAAGCACAAGCAATACAAAGTACAATAGAAAACTTAACGTTGGGTGAAACACACGCTTTCTTGTATTCTGATTGGCTGTATTTTGTGTGATATATATTGAATGTAAAATAGAACTTATCTATTGATTCCCTCAGGGAGGGCAGGTAATTTTATATTACAGCCGTCTTTCATATTGATTTCACTGTTGTTGTTAATGTTGCTGTTATCGTTACTGTTGTTTTTTTTTCTTATTTGTGTTGTTGTTGTTATTGTTGCTTCTGTTGTTGTTGTACTTCATCCTGTTGAGCTGATTTTTATATTTTAACCATGTAGGTTATCGTATTGTGGAATTATTGAGCTGTATTTTTATTGAATTATATTGTTATTCCATTTCTTATCTCATAGGTTTCCCAATCGTACCAATAGTTATTTCGCTAATAATTGGCTCAGGCGGTGAAAAAGGACTTGATACTTACACAAATGAAAACTTGTAAGTACACAGCGCTTTATTCGTCATTATAACTTATTCATTTTATTAGACACCGTCATATAAACTGTTTTGAAACAGATCCGTCGTCTGAACTTACTTTCAGCTGCTGGTTATCCTTCCACAAGCACTTGAGCTGGGCCTTCATCGTCCCTGTGTTACTTGTGACAGTTGTAAGTCCTCTTCTCTCTGCTTTTACCGTTATCTTAATTAATGGCTGGAAATGACAAACAAGAAGAATAAATATATGAATGAATGAACGAGAGAATGAAAACATGATTGAATGAATGGTGGTTGAAACATATTGTGACTGACTGATTAACTGGGAGTGGGTGACCGACTAAGTGACTTATTTATACGATTGCCCCATAGACAAGTGATTGGAGCCTTTGTTTTGCATTTTCTTTATTTAAGATCAACTTTGGGGTACTCATGGCGGTGTTACGAGAGATCAGGAATCTCCATGAACCTAATCCCTCTAAAATGAAGACCTTGAGGTATGTCTTGTAGTGCCTGCGGTAGCATGGAAACTAAAGTAAAGGATTCTTGAAATCGCGTAAATTACGTCAACTCTCAGAGGAAAAATGTCACCGAATGATAATTTTTCCTCGAAATATGCTTGGCCGTTTACTAATTAAAATGAATGAAACACTATTATCATATCCGAATTTTGAAATAACGCTATTACAGCCTCTTATTTATTTAAATCTTAAATTAACTATTCAACTTGAAGGTCTGTTTTTTTTTTTTTTTATTGAAGTCTTAAACTGGATGAAGTCATTTTAAATTGTTTTGGGTTTTTCCCTTGAACCTTTCTGCGTTATTCGACAAGGGAGAGAATCTTCTCGATTATTCATTTATAATTAATAGATAGTTCGAACGATTTCATTTTATTGTAGAAAAAATAATTTCCCATGCGAAATGTGTATTGCAATGTATAGCTCCAAAAGAAAATTGTAATTTGAAAGCAGTTTCGCGTTTTATTTGCTTTTAGAAAAACTCTGAAGTCGTTTATCATCTTAAGCCCTCTACTGGGTTTAACTTGGATATTTGGTCTCTTGGCTGTCACGGACGCAGGGTTGGAGTTCCAGTATGTTTTTACAATACTTAACTCCACACAGGTCTGTACAAACTACATGTACGTATGTCTATAAGTTGCAAACGCTTTGGTCCAATACCTGGCGCGCTTGACCCCATGCAGTCAAAAGGCCTAGTAAGTGAACCACTTATTAAGTTTCACACCGCGTTTGTCCACTTGGATCAAAAGGCCTTTTGCGAGGAAGACAGTCTCTTAATCTTATTAGATTTTTATCAAGAGGAAATAAAATCAAAAGCTATGTAATGCGAGAAATTCTAATTCAAAGATGGAACTGATCAATCACGTATCTTTTTCAGGGTATGCTCATTTTCCTCTTGCATGTGCTGAGAAACAGTGAAGTTCGTGCAGCATTCCAGCACAAAATGTTGAAATGGAGGTTCAACATATTTCACAGCAGCTCTTCCAGCCGCACTCATGCAGAGATGTCTGCGCAGTCCGGTGGCAAGCGAAAACGGAAAGTAGACCATGAAGAACACAAAAAAGAGCTAAATCATAACACTAGACCAGGAGAACAGATGGCATTTATCGTCAGACTACCTCCTCCAAGCGTTCGCTAAAACTTCATCTACAGTTTCCTGCATCAGTTTTTTATTCTTCAACCCTAAGAGTGACAAGGATCTAATTTGTATCTAGGGTACCACTGCTTCATCAAACATTAAGGAGATTTAAATCGAATTAACCATTCGAAATTTTCTAAATAAATGCTAAAAATGTTGATCAACCATACCACCATTATTCAAAAGAAAAGAGGAGCCGAAACAATGCCACAACGCGACAAAAATATCTTTTTCTGTACTTCTTAGCAGTTGTTTAAATAGATCGCCAAGCAACGCGACAGAAAAGGAGCGAGACCACGTCATGCTAAGAGAAAAAGGCCCGGTTACCTAAAACGTCGGCAGCGTTTGTTGTCGAATTTTCAGCAAAATTTATAATGATTTGAGTAAATTAGTTTACTTTGAGAAATCTCCAGATGGGGTTGACATCATAGATCCATATGTACTATTTGATGCAGAAAATTGAAAAAAAAATGTATAGATTGTGGTATATTCCAAGAGATTCTATAATCTCTCTTGCATTTTCTTATCCTTCATCTTCAAATTGTAAAGGGATATTTTAAAGTTATCTGATGTATATTAAATAAATGTGTTTTAAAACACATTATCTCAATTTAAACTGCACAACCATAAAAGTAAGCATGAGAGGGGCAACGAAACATACTAATAATTAACAACTGGTTCATGCATTAGCGTGCACTATCGAGTTATGGAGCACGTGCGAAGTTTGGAGAGCACGAAAGAAACGTAAGAGTTGCCCGAGGCAACTCTAGCTTCTTGAGTGCTCTAAAAACTTCCCACGTGCTCCATAATGCGATAGTGCACAGCTAAAAGCATGAACAAATTGTTTTATAACATAGCCGGTGGAATTGTGCAGTAAATCCGACGCGAAAAACGAACAACAATATCAGAAATGATTGTTCGCGGTAAGCGAAATGTTAAGCAAAATAGAAATTGGTTTTATTTCGAATTTTCTGTTGAAAGCTCGAGTTTTATTTTACTGCAGTTAAAATACAAAATTCTTTATTTTTCTTTCATTTGTTTGGTTTTATCAGAGTGTCTTTTTGTCAAAATTTGTTGCATTTCACCCTCGGACAGTGAAGCGAATCGTGACGGCGCTGATGCCGAGTCTCCTTTTCTGTTGTTTTTCTCTTTTTCTGCCTCATTTAAGAACTGGAATTGGTACTATTAAACTTAAAAAATTAAAGTGCAATATTTCTTCAATAACAGGTTTCATAGGATCCCATCTAAAAAAGGCGATTATGAATAACCATCAGAAGATGGTTTATATATTTACCTTGGCCGGTTTACGATCGGTGTCTACTTTGGGGCTCGGAGTAAAATTTTAATCAGAAATATCGTAATTTTTTGACAAGTTTTCCCTATA